GCGAGGGAAGCCATGGCTCCGGCCGGAGCAGGAGCTGGGTGGCAGCAAACGAGAGCCGCGCTTCACACACGTGTTAGCAAACGTGCACGATCCCACCCGCGGCTGAGCCGCACCTCCACCCTGCCGGGAGATGTACCCACGCTTCCCAGCTGCTACCTGCAGCAGGCATGAGTAGGGTTAAAGCTGAAACCGTTTTCTTTTCTTCCACCCCCTAAATTAAATCACCCGTATCCAGAAAAGCAAGCTGGAAGCTTACTTGCAGTTTTACATACAAACTTGGATAGATTAGGAGAAAAACTTGGGAGAAGTTGCGATTAGGAGAATTTGGGATTAGGAGAAAAACTTGGCTAGATTAGATGAAAAGTGACTGTTGGAAAATGAAACCAGGCAAATTCAGTTCTTGCTGGTTTGGTTTTTAATCCTTGCCGAGGGGTGCAGTAACACTTGGCTGCTGCCAGAGTCGCTGGTCCTGTGCTGGAGACCGGCACACAGGGATGCTCTGCGTCAGGAGGAAGCTTGGAAAGTGGTTTGCAGAGCGATCACGTCAGGAGGCGGCAGCCCGAAGACAGGACAGAGTGGACTAAGCACAGGGTGAGATGCCTGCTACATCCCTCTTGACAGCGTAGCGAAGGAAACGTAGAAACAGATTGTCTTGGCACCACTCCTCCAGCCGAAGGCAGCTGCAGGACGGGGAGCTGTAGTGCTGGACCAGGACATGCAGGACAGTACTGAGGAGAAGGCAACAGCCCAGGCTCCAAGGCTGATGCTCCGTATCTGGAAGTTCTCTCTACCCCATTCACATCAAAGGCAGCATTTTACTCTAAAATCCAAGCACGTCTACTCAAGAGGATTCAGCTGATGCCTTTGTGTTACTGAGTACAGAATGACCAGCAAACCGACCACAAAAACCTCATTTGCTACCATCACGTGGGAGACACGGAAGCACCCAAACTGCGGGGATGAAGAGGTGGGGAGCATTTCCAAAGACAGCAAAGACACGCATGGGTTTGCAGGGAGGACCCAGTGCTTCAGATTAAAGAAATACAGGAAGGGTGGCAGGTCTTACCTTGTCAGGGATGTGCCTCTTCAAGCCCAGCCCTGTGGGAACAACTACGAGCCCAGCCTCAGCACGGAGCCCTGCTGAAAGCCGCGCCTGATCCCGGTGGCCCCGAGCTGCGGCAGCAATCGGGGCTCATCCCAATCAGCTGCGGGCACTTGGGGGTCCACGGGCACCCCACTTCCAGGCAGGACATGATGCTGAGGGGAAGACATGGCGCTACCTGGTTTCAAATACACATCCTTAACAAAAAAGCATTGTTAGGCTCCTCAGTGAACATGAAGTATTCTGTGGTTTATGGGCTGTCACGCTACAATTGCATACATTAATTTAAAATCAAATTTGCGTTCCACTAGAGGTAGATATGGTAAATGAAGGAGATTCCAGGTGCCCAAACATCCCCCAGCCTTAAGGACACAGCAACTCAGGTGTTTCCATTTGCAACCGATATAGCAAACATTTGCAAGGAGGTCAGTAGCCTTTTCTCCTGTCCTTAAACAAGCAGGATGCTGCTGCAGAGCCTGGGGGAGCCGCAGCTGGCAGCCAGCCTAAGCAGGAGAGGATGGGCCACAAGTGGGCCAGCTTGGGAAGAGCGAGAGGTGGTTGCATTCAGGGAGCCATTTAAACTGCAACTCGTTCCCCTTACATAAATCATTTACAAGCAGCAACAGAGGACGCAAAATGAACAGAGAAACACCAAATTTTGCAAAAATGCATATATTTTAAAATTTCAACCAAGTACAGTTTGCATGTATTGCATGAATCACATGCAGGTGAATACTATAAAAGATAAAAATACTTGTGCACATTCTTTATAAATCCAAGCACTTATATATATAATTTATAAAATTTTCATAGCATAAAATAGCTGTGATTCAGAACAGAATTTCTACACATAAAACTGCATGAATGTCCCCATCAAACCACGCCTTTCTTGGGACCAACTGATTTCACCCCATTGGTTAAACTCAGTTTGCTGTGAAGTTTCTTCCCAATTTTGGTCCTGTCCGCTGTGATGTGGCACCTCCCCAGGGATTCAGCTCTGCCGTGCAGCTGTACATCCCAAAGCACCCTGAAAATACGGTGTTCTGAGGCCTGATGGCAGTGCTTCGGGGGTGTGTGGGAGGGAGGGCGACTGAGGACGGGACCTCCTGGTTTCGACGGCCCGAGTCCTGTGCTCACCAAAGGGCACTTGTCCTGCCGAAAGATTCCTTGAAGCTGCTTGCATGCACGTGTAAAGAGAGACATGTCCACACAGCTTGGATTTAAAACAGTTTCTCCACAGCCTGGGCAGATCTAAAGGCAGCTACAATATCTGCCTGCATTTCTTCTGGAGACTACCGGCCTGGTTTTAAAACCTCACAGCTCTTTCACACACACAACTCCTTGCACAAAACTCCCAACAGCTTTTTTGGAACTAGATTATATTTACCCAAGCGGTCAACTGATGGCAAAGCACCTCCTTTACATTCTTCAGGTTAATTTTTCTTGCAGCCAGGAAGACAAGCATACATTATTAAAAAGCTGGCTTTTATGTACATTCTGCCAGGAAAGGCACAGGGGCCATGCCTGAAGCTCTGCGGTCATAGCATGTTACATTTTTCCAGCCAAGCAGACCACATTCACCGCTGTATTTCTCAACAGCTCATTGGTCCAGCAGCAGATATAGATTTTTTTTTTTAAATAAGCAGCCTGAGTTATAGTGACCACTATCCTACGAACACTCCTCAACTGCTATTCTACAAGTGTATACATGGTATTGCAAGACGCATGGAAGAACTGCGTAGCACCAGAAAATCATGGCATCTTATCATCGCCACACGTTGTAGTCACCAGAGTTGCCACTCGGCTCCTTCCACAACGTGATTTAAGGACAATTACTTGTCCCCCCTGCACGATAGGAAGGGCTTTGTCCCATCTCCTAGACAGGGAAACTAAATCAGAGTTAAACAGAGCCTCAACATTGTGGTAACAGCTCTGCTCAGTGGTATGCAGGCAAAGGATCTGTCAGTGGAGGGTTTCTTACTACTATTCAAGATTAATTTCTTATAAGTCACTTAAAATGCTTTGTGTTGGATCTTTCTTTCTTTTCTTTCTTTTCTTTCTTTTCTTTCTTTTCTTTCTTTTCTTTCTTTTCTTTCTTCTGTTTTATTTCTTTGTTCGTGCTTTTTTGGGTATTTTTTTAAAGGGTTGCAGTGGGTGAAACCATACACACAGAACTAGCCAGGTCTGGCAGTGCTGTTGGAAGACACTATGACAAGCGACAAGTACAATAATCACCAGATTTCGCTAGGGACATGCACAGCTGTACCCACGCGTGGCTGCCTCTGACCTCTGCCGACGCCGGTTGCTGAAGCAGCCAGCCGCCTTCGCCGGCAGGACGCTCCCACCGAAGCCCGACGGTGGGAAGGTCCCAGCGCGCGCAGAACCGCCACCTCCACCCGCCTCCACATCCCGCTCCCCTCCTCCGCCAGCCTTCCTCCCGGTGCTTCCTTCGGCCGCGGCGCCCGGGGATGGCAGGGCACAGAGCTCTGCACACCTGAAGGACAGCACTTTGCTCTCGGCTGGCTGTCTCTTCGCCCGCTCCCCCGTGCCCCACACACGAGCCCGTCCTTGGCTTGCTCTCCTCCTCGGGCAGGAGCAGCCCCGCGGCCAGGCAGGCAGGTCCACAGCCCACGGAGCCACAGGGCCGGCATCCCGCAGGCACAGCCATGCTTCTCGGCACCCTGGGCCCCAAAGCAGCCGCTGCTGCCGCTCCAGCAGGGATTTTGTACTCTGTGCTTGTCACCTTCAGTTGTCAAGGCCAGGGGTCTCTAATTATGGGACACAGTGGGGTCAGTGATTTCTAACCCCCAGTTATTTGTGTACAGCGGTTCCCGTGACTCTTCCGAACCAGGTATTTTAGGCCAGTGCAGAAAGGCACAAACCACTTTTTGGTCAAGTTACCAGCCTTGGTCGAGTTACCGCATCTCTGAAATGGTGGGGCCATACGTTTCTTTGTAAGGAAGGCGCTGCGCTCACATCAGTCCAAACAGCTCGTGCAGCAGCGGCACAAGCACGGTGGCACTGAAGCCGACTGAGGAGTACGTTATAAATTTATACGGCACTTCGACCTCCAGCCGTCTTCGGGCTTCCAGGTCGTTGATGGGAAACTTGTACCGATAACCCAGTAGGCCAAGGACCGCGCTCTTCATGAGCTGGCGCGTCAGTAGAACAACAAAGATCCCTACAGAGGACCTGGCCAGCACCAGCACCGCCATTTTACTGGTGATCAGAGGAAATCCAAGCTGAAAATTTTCACGGGTGTCGGCTGGCACGGCGTACTGGTTACTTAACCAAAATCCCACAGTTGCTCCAGCTCCTGCTCCTAAGATAGTAGTGGTGTCTCCCCTGGTAGGGCTGTAGTAGTCCAGTTTGGGGTAGTTGTAACATAAGACAAGAGGCACAACTATGGAAAGCAGTGGACAGAAGGGACTGGTTAACAGCAAGTGATCTATCGTGTCCCACACAGGGTACAACAGCACGAGCAGCACAGCCGAAATCAGCGCTCCACCGATCACGTCCTGCAAAGAGATCACATTTAAAAGCTTTGTGAGACCTGGAAGGCAAAACAGAAATTCTCAGGTGACGATAAAAGACCACCGTCTGCATTCGTGAGAGCGCAGCAGCAGAGGAACGCCCTGAATTCAAAGCGATGGCACCGTCCACGCACAGCGCTAAACGAAACATGACAATCTGCGAACCCAATATTAGCCTTGTCCGTGTGAGTATATCTATTAACTCACATTTTCCCCTGAACCAGTGAGATTCTTACCCTTGCCTGCTTTCATGTTTTAAGGGCACTCTCCACCTGCGACCTCAGCAGAAAAGGCACACGTACAACTCCATCTCAGGGACGGCATCACCGTAAGCTGCCTTCATACAAACCCTCCCATAATTCTACAAGTAGTTTCATCATATCAGCAGGATTATCGCTTCCTTGCTTTGTGCAGATGGGAGGATGCCGTCTTTTGTCAGAGACAAGCACCCAGTCCAGGCACACGGGCTGCGGGGGAGAAACGCGCAGAGCTGCGGGATGTGGTGCCCGTGCCGTGATCCCTGCCGACCGCAGCGGGAGGTAGGCACCGCCGGGCACGAATACATCAAGGGGAAATTTGTTGCCCAAGCCTCTGAAATCTGACTTGTAGTTAAGGGCCTGAGGCAAGCACATAGTTAAAACCTAATTTATTAACAGAGGCAAATAAGGTGTTTTGAGAACTTGATTGTTGTCGACCGCAAGGCTTGGGAAGGGAGACAAGAGGTAACCCCTAACAAAAGCTGTCTGTGTGAGAGCAGCCAGATAAAAAGCAAAACAACAAGTTTCTCCACGCTGCTCTCCTGACGTCGCCCAGGAGGCAGCAGAATTTGTACTCTGACCATGAAATTCCCTGCAAAAGCTAGAGATAATCACATACAGATATGTCCTCTACTCAAGATTGTATCTTTTTCACTGAGCCATGACAGTTGACTGCTACCATGCTTGGTCACAGTCTAAAATGAATTATTTATGAGAACTTCATTTATAGTTAGGCAGGAACAAGGGAATTTTTTCACAACAGAAATATTTAATGACTTTCTGGTAAATGCATCACTCCAGTAAGGCTGAACTCTAGCTGTTTACAACATCCAGGCAATAGATTCACAGCACATTTGTTTTTAAGCAACTCCCAGAACCATTTTGCATATTCCTAATGCAAACTTCCACTTAGATTTATTCCCTCGTCCATATATGAGGCTAGCCATGGACATACACAAGGTTATTCACAGATGTCTGATATGCAAAATACTTAGGTGTCGGTATTTCACAACACCAAATTCCTTAGATGATAACTTTATACACAAAGGCATGTTTCGGCCTGACAGTAAGTAACTACATCGACACGAAAGAGATGGGGGTTGCTCCCAGCACCCATGCTCAGAAATCCCATCACCTCTGTGCACCTTCACTTCTCACCCCACTATTTATCTACTTCATATTAGAAGAAAAAAGTCCTGACATCTTGATACGCACTCCATGTGTGATTAAGGAGTAAAATTCAAAAGCTGGTCACATGGTTTTCTGTTCCAATTAAAGACATTTAACCAAACACTAACATTCCCCTAACAAATGCTTTACTCGGATTTATGCAGCTGACTCCAGCAGTTCCTGGCCAGGGGGCAGACACTCTCCATTTACAAACCTGATGAAGGTTTTCTGAATTTTGTCATCCTGCCGCTCACCCCCAGCACAGTAACACAGCCCCTGTAGTTTTCAGGCAGGACCCAAATAACCAGCTCTGCTCACAACCTGCGGCCCATACCAGTGGTCTCCAAAGTGGGTGCGCAAGGCAACCAATTGGGCTGTGGGAAGAAAATACTTTTGGCACCACTAATAAGTAAAATAAAAATTATGTATCTTTGTAAAGTAGTGTTTATTTAATCCTTTTCTCATCCTTTTTTTAATTTCTATTTTTATGTATGTTTTATAATGTATCAGTGTAGTAGTACATGTATATAATTAATAAATAAATATACATCTATTGAGTGTGCACTCCAGAAGATTTTTACTGCTAGGGATGCACAATCAAAAAATTTCGGAGACTAGTGGTTTATGCTGTTTCTCCCTCCATGTACCGATATATGGGCTTCTCATTGTGGAGGCTCCTGACTAGCAGCTGCGGGCGAGCACGGGACGTACCCAGCCACAGCCGTCAGCAGGGACTCCCTCTGGTCCTGGTAAGCGCAGGCTGAGGTTGCATTTTCTGAACACCCAGAACAGGCTGCCAAGTTCAAGACCAACACTTTACGAAACCATTTAGTGGCGCAGAACTAATGATTTTCCCTCCTTGTCTGTTAAACTCAGGACAAGCTGAGCAGAGGAGGGATGGCTCTGGTTTCTGTGAGAAAAACTGCTTTTTCTGGACTCTCCCTCCTGTGCATCCAGGAGCGGGACCTCAGTTTTCCCCGGAGGTGGAGCTGCTGTTTGCGCTCCCAGGAAGCACATTCCCACCCGTCTGCCTGTGTAAACAGATTAGCCTCGCGCCAAACCCGCAATTATAAAGGAATTTTGAAATCAGGGCAGGCACGAATTTTCCTCAAGGTGCAGCACTACCGGCAAAGCTTAAAACCTCCTGTTTCCCTGCCTGGATGCTCCAGCTCCCTCAGC